CTTTTGGGTAGTGCAGCAACATGTGTTGGTGACATATGCGACGAAGAGAGAAAGAGGGGGGGGGGGAAACGATGGGAATCTATCCCAAGAGAAATGTTTGTTTCGATTTAAAGCTTTCGTGACTGCAAGGATTCATCTTCTTTGGTTCTTTCGGTAAAGTCACCACGTAGAATGAGAATAAAATAATACATTGATCAAATAAAATAACACAATAATATTCTCACGACGTTTCGGCCACAACACAAGCGGCCTTCATCAGGTGAAGGGGACGAGACTGTCTGGAGGACAGCGCTGGAGACTCCAGCGCTGTCCTCCAGACAGTCCAGACAGTCTCCAGTCCAGTCCCCATAAGGTGTGCAGATCGAGAATCTGGACTCCTCAAGCCACCCTCGAAAGCCGCCACCACCAGACCTCATTGGGCGTCATCCTCGCCAACCCCCTAAGGGGGGGGGGGAGGGGGGGGGGGCTGCCGGGCCACGGTGGCCGAGGCTGGTGGGGAGCGCGACGGCTGGGAAGGCGCCCGCCGCGCGCGTTTTTGCCGTGGGCGTGTCAAATGATAACGCTCGGCAGCCAGCAGCATTCATTATTGAGTATGATATATCGCACGCGTGCCTTCCGTTCCTCGATTTAAAACACGGTCACGTAAATGCCCGCTGTTGCCGGACGAAAAAGAAAATTGGAAGCCGCGTTTCCCAACGTACACATTCTGAGCGTTAATTCATTTTGAAATCAGGGCAATGTAGGCTCCTCGCGCTATGATAAGCCTCAACCTCGGCTTTTCGCTGTTATTATTTTTTACCCTGTGGATTGAAGCGTTGTGTGGGTGTTATCGCGCTACAACGGCGGGGAAGGGCTTTTAAAGACGGTGGTGACCGCAATCTGTTCCATCTGCAGCAGTGCATGTCTCGGAATCCGGCTACCACGGACAGCGACTTCGCTCGCGTGGCTGGGGTACAAGTTTGTGGTTACAGGCAGCACATTGTACAGCTGTAACCACTTTGCTGAAACGTGGTGTGATGCAATGCTTTGATGATTTTTGCGCATAAAGCCAAGATTACATATTTGGTGAAAGCTGTGGTACACCCTCGTGGTAAACATTGCGAAGTGAGTTGGCTTCATATTGAGTGCATTGTAACGCCTCCCAGAAGCAAAGCTCACGGCCAAGCTAAAGATTCTTGAGGTTTGACAATTTCAGGGGGGCTTGAGGAACAGGTTTGGAGTTCTTGTGAAGCCAACACGGATTGGAGGGCGACTGTGGTGGGAGATTGTAGGAACTGCCAGGCTGCTATGGCATCTCAGGTGAGATAAGTCGGCCCCTTAAAAAAAACTCACAGTTGAGACCTCCGGCTTGTGATGAATCAGTGAGACCTCTTGAGTGGTTTGACGTGTTGTGTTGTCACACACGTTATGCGATGTTGCGCTTGACTATGCACCTAAAAATCATAAATGGTGTTAACTCAGCAGAAGACTCTGGAATAAACACGGGTAATATGAATGTGTGGGACTAGGAATGTGCAATGATGCAGGTTTGTTGGTCAGGACCTTGGCCGGAGCCATGCGGCTGTTGGCAGACTTAAGAGAGTGAGGCTGAACAAGTGTTCATAAAATAAACTTCGCTACTAGTAATGCACCAATGTAGTAGGATCACAAGTGCCAGTAGAAGGTTTGGTCCGCAAGAGGACTGTGTACTCGGGCAGCAGAGACGGCTGTGAGGAGGTTAGTCAAGAGGTACAATGCTGGAGAACAGGTTCAGGGCTTTGGTGGACTGTGGTTAACACTTCAGAAGAGAAGAGCGATAAGTCTGATTTCAGCGAAAAGGGTGATTGGATGCAGGAGTGTTCTCTAGCCTGCCTGGATCAGAGGACTGATGGGGCGCCATGGCGGCGAGATGTTAACTACCTCACCTGGTATACATGGAGTTCGCGGGTTCGATCCCAACCCTGACGCCTGCTGTATATTTGGAGTTTGCGTGTTCTCCCCGTGATCGCATGGATTTCTCTCTGGGTCCTCCCGGTTTTTTTTCCCTCCACATTTAGAAACATGCGTTTTAGAGTATTTGTGCTGCTATACATTCCCACACGATAAGCTACTTTGTCGAGCTATCACTTGTGGCCAGGTCTGTAAAGTCACGTATGTAGAAATACCATAAAATTATATTAAAATAAATCAATCACGACGTTTCGACCGCAACACAAGCGATCTTCATCAGGTGTAAAAAATAAATAGCGAGGGAGCACATAGGGTGACATCAACGCAACACATAGAGAGCGTTAAACTGCACGGAGGTAAATACAACAAGAAGACGAGAGACGAGAATTTAACAAACCTAAGAAAAAATTATGCGATGCAAAACCAGTCAGGCCAACAACACATTTAGACACTTGCCTGGCGGACCACGAATTTCAGAAGAGTGCTAAATTTCGTGTTCATCCTCTGGGTTGAACATACCAGCATAGACAGAGTGAACAAATACGAGGTACAAGGCAGCAGAAATACATATACAGGGACACCAAGAAAAAGGGCCGGAGGGATGAACAGACAGAGGCTTAAAATAATCAGTAGAGGTGGGGGGAGGGGCCGAAGAGAGCAAGGGGCACGGCAGCAGAAGAGGGGGGAGGGGTAGGAGAAAGCAAGGGGCGCCATACGTTTAGGAAATAATTGTAAAGTTAACTTCCCCGTAAGAAGTGTGTTAATAAAGAATTCAAGCTTTCGTGACTGCATAAATTACTCATTGGTTTTTTCGGTAAAGTCACGTGTGTATAAATACCATAAAATTATATTAAAATAAATCAATCACGACGTTTCTACCGCAACACAAGCGATCTTCATCAGGTGTAAAAAAACAAATAGCGAGGGAGCATATAGGGTGACATCAACGCTACACATAGAGAGCGTTAAACTGCACGGAGGTAAATACAACAAGAAGATGAGTGGGCCTAACCTAGTAAAATAGAAATCGGATTATCACAGTATAGTTAGAACTAGACCAAACATTCAGAAATACGCAGTTGCTGGCATTTAAGCACAGGTGCCCCGAGACAGATTCGACGCGTTTTGTGGAAAAATTAGGATAAGCAACGTGGGAATCTGGAGGGAAACACGACAGGGAGTGTTGTCGATATTAATATGCAAATTTAGTTGCTCTTGGTGGAACGTGCGCTGCATGGAGGAGGGCCCCCTAATCACAATAGGCAAGTGGAACGGTCCTCCGTGATTCTAGTGACCAAGGGAGACACCTCATACCGATGGTGGCGGACTGTTGTGGAGTGACTCATGCAGCCAGCTATGGCTACAGGGTTTGGTGGTACATGTTGTTTATGTCGTTTATTGTGAAATTTCGGTCGTAGTTCCTATGATCACTGTTGCATTGCTTATGGCTTTATTTTGGCGATTTCGAAAACGTTTTTTTTGGTTTGGTCATGTTTGTTTGTTGTAGTACGGAGTTAGAATGATGGCTTTAATATAAGTTGTCTTGTGGTTGTTGTTGTTTGACTTGTATCCCACTGGGATTTTTGCACACAGCGTTGGTGTACGGTGCTTTTTTCTGGAAGACTTTGCAGTTTTTTCCTGGATTGTTCTGTTTGCGCAGTCACTTTAAGATATATATTCTTGATTCTTTCGGTAAAGTCACGTAGAAGGGAAACAATAAAATAATATAAAACAATAAAATTCTCACGACGTTTCGACTGCAACACAAGCAATCATCATCAGGTGTGAAAACTACAGAAAGGAGAGCGATTTGGCAGTTATTCAGATGGACGAGTCCATCTATCTATCTACGTGACTTTACCGAAAGAACCAATAATATGAATCCCTGCAGTCACGAAAGCTTTAATTAAAATTAACTTTAAGATGTTTTCTTGTTCATGTTTTTGTTTTTTTGTTTGTTGTGGTTGCACCCGATTCAAGAGCTGAATGGCTCACAGGGCTATACCAAATAAATGAAACTGAAAACTGAAACTGTGACGGCAGATCTTGGGAGGTCACCTGGTCTCCTGTGCAGCAGCTGCAGGATCTGGCAGATGGTGTGGTGCGCCATTGTTATCGTGAATGTACTCTTACTCAGACATACAATCACACACAATAGGAAACATGTAATTGAATATATTGTACTTTTTATTGGAAATGTTGGGAAAATTCCACAATAAATGAACAAGGTGGTAAGGATTAATTTAATATAATGCATGTTCAAAGCAAAAAGTGGAATTCAAAAACGAGCATGTAAAACATTTTGAAATTCGTACCAAATCGTTATATTTATATCTCGTAAACTGTGTTAGCATTTAATGTTCAATACATTCCATAAATATGTACCATTACGTAACAAAAATAGAACAGTCCTGAATAAGAGTTAAAATGCAATTCATAACATTGCACTGTACCTATACATTCAGTTGCCATTTTAATATAAAACGGCTTCTTAAAAAAATCTGATTTAAACTGGAGGAAAATATTCAGAAACCTTTTATTACAATAACTTTAAAGGCAACGAGGCGCACAATGACACTGTTGTAAGTGTTTAAGTTTATACAATCATTACAAAAAACCTATATCTCAAATGTGGGGTGTTTCCTGTGCGTTGCACGGCGTGGCGATCCTTCCCCCTTGACACTGCTCCACTCCCAACACGCCTCGTTTGTACGCACCAAACAAAGACAAAGATCCCCCGTATAGCCTGTAACAGACTGTTGGGGCAAGTGCTGTCAGCGAGCGCCTATGAAGGCCGGCACGGCACACGAGGGGGTGGGTGGCCAGCACCACGCCCGGCCCCCTTTGTCTCCCTAGCGGCGATGTTTACACACCGCACCAGGTACTAATTTGAGGCCGAGTCGACCTAGGGGAGGCCCAGGACCGCTTCAAATAATCGTCACTGTTGTTGGCCGTGAGCGGGGAATCGAACACGGGTCGCCAGGCTCGTAGCGCAGCGCGCTCACCGCTACACTACCGCTCCCCAACCCACCAAACATCACACAATCTCCGCTTGTTTTTAGAATTTGATCAAGTTCACCTTTCTTTGCAATATTTTCTACTTGCGTTTGATTTCAATTTCCAAACATTATTGTCATTAGTCTTAAATGAGCATTCTTAAAATGACCCAAATTATGTTTGTAACAAAACACGTATCTACGGTGCACTAGGGGGGTTACTCCACAACTACAGTTGTAGCCACGGTGGATGTGATCTAAACTGTCAGATGAATTCATATCGGTCGGAGACTCTTTTTCATTTTGGAATGCTTGGGTGATCCCTTTGAGTAATCTTGCATGTGCGAGGAAACGAGACTGGCAAATGCACGCATAAAATAACATTTAAACTTTGCAAAGTTGCCTTCTATGGCCATCTTACAGCCGTTCTAGGGGAACACTTCATGCACACGTTATGAGCACGACCTACCAACCACAAATCCTTGTTGCTAGGACCGCAGGTGTATGCCACACACATCTGGCGAAGCACTTGTCAACAAGACGGTTGCATGCGCGTTCCCCCAATAAAGAGCCATCGAGCGTATGTCGGTCGCTCCGCGCGGGCGAAACCACGCGCGGTCTCTCACACCCAGTACTGGCTCTCCTTGAGCACGGGACTGCTCGTGCGGTAGTGCTGCAGCAGCTCCGGGTCCATGAGGCTCCAGTCGTATGGCGCGGCAGAGACGTCGGTGTCCCCGTCCCCCGGCGAGTCGTCGTCGTCGTCGTCGCCCGGGGGCGCCGGACCCTGCGTCGCCTCCGGGCCGTGCGCGCGGAGTGCCGCGTCGTCGATGCACGAGTCAGGGACCGGCTCGTAGAGGTAGATCTCGGCAGGCCCCGGGTCTAGGGGGGTCACGGTCACCGACGGCACGGCCGGGGAGCGCTCCATCCTCCCCACCTTGAAACCGCAAGAGAAGCTCCGACCCAGGCCCTTTGCTTTCTTCTTCTTGTATGTGATCATGACGCTGATAACGATGACCAGCATGGCAATTAAAATTAAAGTGGGAAGAATTATGTAATACAGAGTCTTCTCTGAAACCCCATAGTAATCGTTCAATGTTCCTGGAGCTGGGTTCTCTAAATCCACACTAAATGTAGGCATGGTTAGATCTTGTTCTGTTGCAACTCCGTTTATTATGTACCCTTCAACTGAATGTGTTATATTAACATCGGCCGGGTTTGAACCGTTGAAAGGGAAAAACAGCCGCGCCGTCGGCACGCCGTAAAATGGATCGCGACTCGGGAATACAATCTCGTACACAAATTGCCCGACGGCAGGCTGCACTCCTCGTGCCGAAAGCTCGTACTCGAAGTGGTCCGCCGTCATATTGTCAATCAAGATGACATTGCTCTCTGCCACCTTCAGGAAAACTCGCCCACGATGCAGGTCGTCTTGCGTGAAAGTCGAGACCTGCTCCGCGCGTTTGTTCACCCTCGTCCCAGCCGTACGCGACCTCACGCGCCGATCTCCCGGGGTAACCGGGGAGATGTCCGTTTCCCTAGGCGCTCTGAGCGTCGTGTTTTTCCACAGGAGCTGGCCATGCTGCGGGTGTTTAATAATGCGAAATGTGGGCGAACTTTGAGTCAAGAGTGCAAGGGTGCTGCAGTCCAAGTGATCCTGTCCGAGCTGCACCTCACTGCCTGGGCTGATTTGCAGCCTTTGCCCGATCTTAACCAAGGGATGGACCAAGATGTTCACTGCCTGTCCAGAAATGGTCACGTTGTGAGCATGAACCTCAAACACAAAGCTATCATTAGGAGACGTTAAGTCTACCATGGTGTACATCAGATGCATTTCATCGATGTCTTCCTGTTCAAAGGTATCGATGGATGTTCCGCGTTTCATTAAAATGCCGTGTGTTGGGGGTTTTGTAATGCGGTAGCGCAGTGCCACATTTCTCACGTTTGTAACTGCAGCGAGCATTGCATTTGTGACGTTTACCGATGTTTGACCCTGAAGGATCGTGATGTTCGTGTTGTTCGAGAGAGATATGGACGGCAAAACTACTTCTACCACAATGCGTTGGGTAAGCGGAGGGTGCTTCCCATCACTGATGCTCACGTCAAATCCAGCCGATGATCTCAAGCCGCCGCTCTGCACGAACACAAGCTGCATGGTGTCGATGTCCTCCTGAGTAAACTGTTGGATGGAGGCAGTGGCGTTGTCTGCAAAGGCCAGCCATCCATTGTTGGGAGGAGTGATCAGCGTGTACACGAGGTCCTGCGCTTGGTTGTCTTTGTCTGTGGTCAGCAGATGCGACGATGTAATAAACGTTGCTTGTCCCAACACCACCTGGAGAGTGGGCTGCTGCATCTGGAACACGGGAGGGTGAATGTTCAATGGGAAAATGCTAATAATAAAGGTCTCTCCCCCGATTACACTGATGTCCTCAGATTCTTTTGCCTGGTCATCACGTGGTGTCAACCGCACACTGAAGTTGAAGCTGTCGGTCCAAAACTTCAGCTCCATCTCCTTGTGCATTTTAGTGCGAAGTAAATAACCTGCCTTGTTTGCCGTGCCGTCACCTGCAATGCGAGTGGTTCCTCTAAAGGCTACGGCGCCGGGTTCCTTCCGTTTAAAATTCCATGGAGCTGCAGCTCCTTCGTCTCCAAACAGCGCGCGCGTGTCCTGCGTGTACTGGAGACCACGCCTCTCAACATCCAGCTGGGAAAAGGACGGTCGACTTCGAGAGATGTTTCTGGCGCCGACGGAGAGCTGGCCAAACTCCGGCAAGCGCGTCACGTAGAAAGTGAGCTCGTAATCCAATCGCTCATCGGGTGGAAACTTGGTCAGGACATTTGATGCGTCCAGGTTCGTCTTGTCTATCGTGACGCTTCCTCCTTGTGTCACATTTGCTCCTACAAAGGGGAAGGCAATCGTCGTTACAATTGTTTACGTACACAAGTAATCATTTGTATATCTTACTTTTTTTTACGGTAGAGAGTTAAACCAAATTTATTGCAGATTGAAGAAGTGTCAATATTTTGACAAAGTGATAACAATAAGTTGATTCCAGGCACAATGGCACACGGCTGTAATCTAGCACTTTGAATGAAAGGGTCGTTGGCTCAAGCAGATTAGTGAAACTCCCAAACCCCGTGCACTGCGCTGCAGCCTGGACATCAGCATCATCACTATCATGCTCGTTTACCCAGGGAAGCCTCACCCTGAGCCTGAAGACTCCTTTTCAGGAGGGTCCTGCCAAGCTTTCGCAGTAGGGGGCAATGTTGCTTCATGTAATACCAATTTATTACATAAATATTTCATTATTGGATAATTATTTTTATTTTACGAGCTTCATCTATCCAAAGCCACTCCCACCCCCCCCCCCCCCCCCCAAATTCCGTGTTAAATTCAGTCATGAAAAGGCTGAAGCCACCGGTGCGGAGATGTATTTCTCAGCATGTGATCCATACATTGACCACGTGCGAACAGTGTCATTGTAAACGTGGCAATCGTGTCAGGCGGTGGAGGGTCCTTGACAAGAAATTTGGCGTAAAAAATACGACCCACAAACAAAGATGGGTCCATAAAACTGTTTACGTATGAACACGGGTCCGTAACACAGCAAATTTCGTCTTTCGTCTCCCCCCTCCTCTTTTCAGAACATAGATGGACTAGTTCTTCTAAATAAACTGCCAAATCGCTGCGCGTGGCGCTAACGTTTTTTTATAAATAAATAAATACACCGTTTAAAAATAAATACATTTATGCAAACCGACACACCTGAAGACGACCGTTTGTGTTATGGTCGAGACGTCGTGAGAATTTTCATTGTTTTATATATATTTTATTATTTTATTGCTTCCCTTCAACGTGACTTTACCGAAAGAACTAAGCATATGCAGCATTCTTAATATAACCATGCAGCTTGGACACCGACTTGTGGAAAACCTCTACCTTTTACTATTTAACTTCATCCATTTGTCCATAGAATGCCGATAAATCTGGTCATAAGCCAAGATAGCGGTTTTACAAGAGAGATGTGTGTCCTGAGCAGGCAGAGGGCGATGCGGTGTGACGAGGAAGGGGGGGGTGGGCGGGAAGACCTGAGCAGGCAGAGGGCGATGCGGTGTGATGGGGGGGGGAGGGGGGGAGACCTGTGTTGGCGAGCAGCCTGCTGCGGTGCTCAGAGTCCGTGTGCCGGTAGGAGATGGAAAAGTGAAAGTTCTGCTTCTCTGGCCGTGCAGGGGGTGACAGCGCCGTGAACTCAAAGTCATCCTCGGCTTCCCAGCGCGGCTCCGAAAAGCCCCCGTGCTTGTAGGCAACCAGCCCCGAGTCGACCTGCGGGCATCAACACAGGCCACGACGTACGGTCCGTTTCCACATCACTCTTCCAAATGAGACTATCTTGGTCCCATGTGTCTTCACGCACACATGATGCCTGATATAGAATCGGTGTCTATTTGGAAAATTGAGCCTCGTAACACCTGCATTTACTCCAGAAAAGGTATAGCCTTTTTTCATTCAATATCCTGGTCTCTTGCGTGTTCATCTGGTTACACAAATGTAACAATAATAATTTTAAATTAACTTAACTTCGGGAAGGCAACAGTATAATGTGCTCTTAGTGTCAATACACCCAGCTATTGTATGAACATTCTGAGATGACACAGGCTCTGCTCTGTGGAGAAAAGGTTCCCTTTCTTGATTTAAATAAAGGGCCCTTCAGTGCAGCTTCTTATTTTAATTTCACTCGGTGGCCTCGGTGGTCTCTTTGAAAAGCCTCTTTTTGAACTCCCTCAGAATGAACAAATGCGGACATCATGAGACCCGTTGCCCACTCCGCTCTTTGCAGGATGGGTCCAATATCTGTGTGGCACAGACCGGATCCCTCACTGGACATCCCCTAACTGGAGACGGCGATTTTGCGCGAATGCCACGATGATGGATTTCTCTCACTTCGGCCCGGTTCGTTCACGCAAACGGAGCTTGCGTCTCTCGCCCGTTCCGGGGGCAATGATCACACTTCACTGCGCCCAGTAATCACACGCGTAACAAATCACCCGGTTGGAACGATTTTCTGCCGATTACATTTCGCACTACAGGAAAATCCATCACGTCCGATAATTATTCCCCTGATGAATAATCTCTCCACAGCTGGCGTTGTGGAGAGGAGGGCCCTCTGCTCAACCGGCGTCTGCATGCGGCAGCCCCGTGCCTCTCGTGCGGTCCAGGTGGAGCGAGGGGGGCCTACTCGAGGAGACTGAGCAACCTCCAGCGCAGCCTGCCCATGTCTCCACGCATCGACCCACGACTCGTGTACACAGTAAGCTGGAGCTCAACGGGGAGCGCTCGGCCCACAGGGCAACAAACAATGATGGCCGATCCCAGCCGTTTCTCCTCGCTAGGGGACGTGTTAGTGCAGGTCGGGGAATCTTGCTTTGGGGGTCTTCCGAGGAAGTGCATTTTGGATCGCAGGTCTACAGTCTCTTCCTGTGCTAATTTTGTGGAGGACAGAGACACCGGTGATGATCCGGAGTGTGTCTGTTAAAATCGGGTCAATCACATTTGCAGTTTGTATTTTCATTGGAGGACGGATATTCTCACTTATTTAGCTAATCGTACAAAACTAATTCACGTACGCAACGCTCTTTGCTAGTGTTGTCCGCTTGCTGTTTGGATCTGGCGGCTGTACGGTGACAGTCCGTCAATTTGTTGTGACCGGAAAGCCCAAAGTTTAAGTAAAAATTACATTGCCGCTACATCACGTCGCAACAGCAATGCAACATTTCACTCGCCAAGCATCTGCCATTTTTCTTTGCGGATACGTGGAATTCACCCTATTCGCAGGTCTTGAAAGTGGCCCTTTTTCCTGGAATTCGCTTCGGGAAAACGACATCGTTACTACTCTGAGCAAAACTTTTCAGGGCTAAGTGGAGCCTTGGTGGCAAAGTCACGCCTTGGCCACGATTTCCCGTAAATTTGCGGACAACCACGCGAATGAGACCTGCGCGATCTTCGTCCTCCACGCCTCCTTGCATGGAGGAGAATTTTGCTGTATTCATGTTGGATTCTGTGCTCTCCGCATAGGCAAAAGCAGTGATGAAACCACACCTCATCCTGCGTGAAGTTGTAGATGGGGTTGTTGTGGGGGGCATCTGTGCGTACGAGCGCTCCCATCCGAGGCCCCCGGCTGACGGAGTACAATACGCGGCGATGGCGTAATGGGTCCTCGTCGCTTGTCGACGCTCGTAGCTCCTGGCTGCCAATGGTTCGCGCGGCACCTGAGGACGGGCGACAGCGTGCGGTGCAGACCACGCACGGCGCGGGGGATGGTGTCTCACCAGAGGCCACAATATTACAGGGCGCACGATCCGCCACACAGGCCACAGCGCGTGCAGCTCACTCTGCTCCACGACGCATTGCATGGCACACGCCTCGCAACACACACCTTGCATCGCGAACCACAAACAACTAAAATAAACTCCGCGACATTAGACGTCGTAATGCCATTTACTTAGTGCTCGCTCCACAATGAAGGGCTTGCACTACGCTACGCAGACAATACAGTGCACTGCATGCACCACAATATGCATCAAATAATGCACATCAAAGACCACGCTGTACTTATTGCACAAAATACAGCTTACACAATATGCACAGTGATGTGAATGCACCCCGCGGGGCAATGTTTGAAAATTCAGCGGTAGACAACTTCTGCCTCACAAGGGAGCTGACCGTCAATTCCATAATCACGCCTTGACTCGCGTATTACTTGTAGAGCCACAAATATAATCACGGGAATTGTTTTTTCTGGCTGCTATTGAAATTACACAAGATTAGATTGGCATCTGCTGTATCCCGATATTACGGCTATGTCGTGATCACATTTAATTATTAGCCGTAAGGTATTTTTTGACACGGTTGCCATGTAATATTCTACGTCATGACGTCGTGGATTTTGGACGCGACCTGCATTTGCGTTACGTTTTATTTCATGCCAATTTATCCTGAAGTATAATTCGTGACTGATTAAACTATTGCATATTTATAATACATTTCACTGCAACCGTCACAGGAATACAACTGTAAAACACGTGACGGGCATGAGAACAGAGAGAGAGAGATGGAGTACCGCCAGATCGAGAGTGCAACCTCGCGACATGGAGGAGAAGCGTGACGGGGTGTAATTGCCACACACATTGCACTACTCTGGATATTTGGTGAAACTGCATTGGCAGCGATGCACACGCACAAACAACGTAAAAAAAACCTCAACACATTTAAATTTCGATTTAAAGCTTTCGTGACTGCAAGGATTCATCTTCTTTGGTTCTTTCGGTAAAGTCACACATTTGTAAAGTCACACATTTGTCAATAACGCTGCCTGAAAAAGTACATATAATGAGCCCGAAATGTCGCTCATTATATACATTTATATTTTTTAAGGCAGTCTTACTGACGAATGTGTTGAGTCCTTTTTTAAATGCTTCATCACATCGACATCCGAATGCTGCAGAAAGCCACTGCTGTAATGGTGAGATGGTGGAGCGGGTTTACGGTACCAGGGTAGAGCTGCAGGACACGGCTTCCATGCAGCGTGATGAGCAGGCGCTGCGCCGTGATGAGGAACACCTCCGTCGGGCTCCTGTGCTGCCCATCCGACACGTGGAAAGCAAACTCCACCTCCATCGAATCTGTCCGGAAGATTTCCACACGGACGAAGAGAGTGAATTCTTTTTTTTTTTACACGAATAAATTGACCGGGTGTGAGTGCAAGCTGTGCACTTAACGCGCAGCACTTACTGTAGGCAAACAGCTACCGGTACACATCTTATGAAATTCAGACGTCACCCCGTAAAAAAAAAGACTCGCCTACAGATCTGCCCACAACCCTTTACTAAAACCTCGAATGGATATTATGACAAGGACTGAACTGTACGAAATTAACCTTCGCAATATTGGGTGCAGTCATGAGTGAATAAGTGAAGACTGCCTCAGGATCACCGAATACGAGATCATATTTTGTTGGTGGAATTCCTGGGGCTCAAGATCTTTGGTCACAATGGTGCTGCCGTCTTAGCCCACTCAGCTATACAGCTATCCACTGAATACATCAAAGGAGACAGATCTCCCGCTTACTGAAGGTTCCTTCAATAGAATACGCTGGTTGCTGAAGTTGAGAGTGCATGGAGAGGAGGGGTGTAGCAAGGGAGCAAGCCACAGAGGACTTTGAGAGACAGTCAGGCCAAGACTGAAGTTATTCAAGGATTGCACTGAGGTAGAGGGATCAGTGTCGGGATGATGTGGTCACATTTAAAGGTTATGGGCAGTGGCATTTGGGTTCATCTGAAGTGTGTAAGGGAGGGATTTAAGAGGAGAAAGTTGTAGACGTCCAGTCAACATGTGCTGAAGGCTTGAATAGAGTTTAACACGTAGGCTTTCGCGACCAATATTATTCATAAAAAGGTTTTTGGGTTATATTGCGTAAGTATAAATGTGTCGTAACCCTCCACCACCCGACACAGCCAATTAGTAAGGGATTTGTTACGTAAACAAAACGCCAAATGGATGCAATTACCAGCGAAATGTCACAATTTGCAAATGTTGTGGATTTACTCTCCAACACACCGGTGTGCTGTACTAGTGACAAATTGGCCACGTTCTGTTTACGTGACAACCCTTACTAGATTTTGATTTAAAGCTTTCGTGACTGCTGGAATTCATATTCTTGGTTCTTTTGGCAAAGCCACGTAGAAGGTAAACAATAAAATAATAAAAATATAAAACAATAAAATTCTCACGACGTTTCGACTGCAACACAAGCACTCATCATCATGATCATCAGGCTGTGTCGGGTGGTGGCGGGTTTTAACGACACATTTTTATATTTACGCGATCTAACCCAAAAAAACATCTATTATGGATGATATTGGTCGCGAAAGCCTATTGCAAATAGCTAGTTAATGTGAAACCTTAATCTGGTAGAATAAACAAAGGCAATGAATATAACACTACTCATTTGTCAACAACCATAGTTATGTAGATCTAGAGTCAATCTTGATTTGAAGCTTTCGTGACTGCAGGAATCTATACTCGTTGCTTTTGTCGGTAAAGTCACGTAGGTATAAAATAAAATAAATCACGACGTTTCGGGCGCAACACAAGCGTCCATCATCAGGTGGAAAAGCATACATCTAGAGTATTTGACTTACCATTGAAGGAGCAAAATTAAAAACCCTGGTGAAGTCAGCCCATCATTCCGCTCGGGTATAATGAGTGCCACTGTGGGCATTCAATGTTGGTTGCCCTGAGCAGACTTACCCCTACCATAGCAATGTGGAATATCCACCACTTGCTCAGGATCAGCAGTGGACATGAGTGTCAGCTACCTGGGATACCCCCCCCCTGCCCCCACTCCCCAAACAGCCCCCAACAATCCCCCACATCCACCCCCTATACCCCACACCATCGCACACCTCAATACCACACCAGTGACTCCTTATCACCACTCACCCAATACAGCAGCCCAGCAATCTCCGCTACCCCCTACACCACCACTCACTCCATCCCCATCACTCACCTCCACACACCACACATCAACACTCACTCTACACACCACTCACCACCACACACAAACACCCACCCTACACACCACTCACCACCACACACAAACACCCACCCTACACACCACTCACCACCACACACAAACACCCACCCTACACACCACTCACCTCCACACACAAACACCCACCCCACACACCACTCACCACCACACACAAACACCCACCCCACACACCACCGCTCACCTCCACGCGCCACTCACCACCGCTCACCTCCACACACAAACACCCACCCCCCACACACACCACTCACCACCACACACACAAACACCCACCCCCCACACACACCACTCACTCTACCAACATCTCTCACCTCCACACACAAACACCCACCCCACACACCACCGCCCACCTCCACACACAAACACCCACCCCCCACACACACCACTCACCACCACACACACAAACCACCCACCCTACACACCACCACCCACCTCTATGTGCATACAGTACACGCCCAAGAAGCACGTCTGCCTGCGTGAAGTTCAGCACTGGCCTGCCGGGCAAGGTAGCCAACGCCACGTATCCACTGCCGGGGGGCGAGATGGAGAAGAGCACCTCCTCGGGTGGCGAGTCGAGGTCCTGGGCGCTCAGCTCCGCTGTAGTGATGGGGGTCACGGAGCCAAACCACACCTGCATGAAGCACATGGGCGACACGGTACACTTTTAATGCCGTCATCGGCTGCCATTCCGTCACCAGTCTCATCCATCAGCCCTTTTTGTGACAATGCCCTTCTCAAGCCCAATTACTTTTTACACGCTTTTTATTAACTCACTCTGTCTGTTGTTGTTGTATCCTCAAATCTTGTAGCTCAATTTTAACCCACTTCCCAATGTGGTATCGACTGCAAATTTGGTATACTTATGTCATACTGACGACAATACTATATTCTATCATTAAAAATATATATTTTAAAACATTATTTTTTATATGTTATGTTTCGGCCTTGCTCTAATTGTCTACGGTAAACTGACATTGGCTGTAAATGACCACGGCCCCTTACGTTATGGCAAGCTTCGGGGCCACTTTATGGAGTCGTGGAGTTCTTCCACTGCTAGTACACAGTACATTTCATTAAAGCGTGCTTTTTTTATGTTCAAAAAAAAAATATTACTTATTTGAACAGCCAAGTTGATGTCGCTTATTTCCATGTGTTCCTTGCTCCATGTGCTCCTCTCTCTGTCTCTCCGTAAATACCCAAGCATGCACCCATCCCCATGCATTCTTTGTGCACCTTCCAGATTTTGCTCAAATGTTGTGGGATGTTTGTGAGCCACAGCAATAATGATCTGCGCCGATTCAAAGCGTTTTTTTATGGGCCCATTGCTCTGCTGATTTTAATAATAAAATTTCGGTTTTATAAAGGAGCGCCATGCTGCTTATTCATCATGGGACCTCCTTTGCCAGTACCAAAATATGATAACAGGTTTTTCCCCTTTTTTCTGGCAACAAAACAGGTGTTAAGATGTTAAAACACCAAACTGAAAGCTTTTACGAGGAATCATGTCTGATTGGTCCACACGAGAGACAGCTTTCTTTTGAGCCTCGCCTCAAACCGTGTTAGAGGCCAGAGGATGCCAAAAGGCGTACACAGCACAAAGACAATGCCACTATCAGAGTAATGAGAGCTCGGGGTGAGCATCTACATCATGGGACCTCCTTTGCCAGTACCAAAATATGATAATAGGTTTTTTCCCCTTTTTTATGGCGTCCTCTGGCCTAACACCGTTGGAGACGAGGCTCAAAAGAAAGCCGTCTCTGGTGTGGACCAATCAGTTTCAAGGACAATGCGTAAGGTAGTGTTTTTATTTCACGCGGACAACTTATTTTTCTCCTGCGTCACGTTTTATTAAACAGAACCCCTCGCGTTCGACACCACGTGACTCCGGCGTAACTCTCCCGCTTGGGCTGCTCGCCTGCTCTGCTCGCGTCACTCGCTCCGCTCTCTCAGCCTCTCCACTGCTAGCCTGCTCTCGCTCTCACTCTCCTAGCCTCTCTATTGCTAGCCTGCCTGCCACGCTCTCTCCGCTGCTGGCCTACCACTACACTCTGATAGCTTCCCACCGTACACTCTGCTAGCCTCTCCACTGCTAGCCTATTACTATACACTCTGATAGCCTCTCCACTGCTAGCCTATTACTATACACTCTGATAGCTTCCCACCATATACTCTGCTAGCTTCTCCACTGCTAGCCTCTCACTATACACTCTGATAGCTTCCCACCATACTCTCTGCTAGCCTCTCCACTGCTAGCCTATCACTATACACTCTGGTAGCTTCTCCACTGCTAGCCTCTCACTATATCTTCTGATAGCTCCTCCACTGCTAGCCTTCCACTATATACTCGGCTAGCTTCGCACGCTCACACTTAGAATTCCGCTAGCTTCTCTACTGCTAGCCTGTTCTACCCTCGCCTCTCCAACCTCGGCCTTGCCTCCAGTGGGGGGTTTAGCCATCACCGCTGGAGAGAGAGGGCCAGGTGCGGAGAGCGGGGGGCCTTGGACTTCTCTCGTCTTTCCTCTGACCAACTCAACTCTTTCTCTCTCCCACGCCGCCCCCGTATTTATCGCCCCTCCTCATCAACTCCTCATTAATTAAGCTGGCGACCTCCCGTCGCCTCGCGCCCGTGGCTTCCGCCGCTATCGCCTCAATCTCCCATCAACCTGCCGCCCGTTCCGCGCCTGCATTTGCAGCCAGACAATCACTGCCATTGCCACACTCTTTGGTTCTTTCGGTAAAGTCACGTAGTAGGTATAAAATAAAATAAATCACGACGTTTCGGGCGCAACACAAGCGTCCGTCATCAGGTGGGGAGAAAAAAACTGCTATACATCTTAATAGCCTTCTTTGGTTCTTTCGGTAAAGTCACGTAGAATGAGAATAAAATAATACATTGATAAAATAACACAATAAAATTCTCACGACGTTTCGGCCACAACACAAGCGGCCTTCATCAGGTGAAGGGACGAGACTGTCTGGAGGACAGCGCTGGAGCCTCCAGACAGTCTCGTCCCTTCACCTGATGAAGGCCGCTTGTGTTGTGGCCGAAACGTCGTGAGAATTTTATTGTGTTATCAATGTGTTATCAATTTATTTTATTCTCATTCTACGTGACTTTACCGAAAGAACCAAAGAAGATGAATCCTTGCAGTCACGAAAGCTTTCAATCGAATCTTAATAGCCGTCACCTGTTCATCCCGATGCGACCTCACTGTCAGCAACTCGCACATGCGTGCACACCGCTTGCAAACCCCCGCGCGCGTTATTCCACTACTCACATATTATCAGAGTATGTTTTTTGTTTGCATTCTGACCACAAGCATTGTGCTTGGGTGCCGTCCATAAATGACATCATGGGGGGGGGGGGGGTCAGCCATTTGTGACGATGTGTGATGAGGGGGGGGTGGGGGGGGGGGGTTTGAGAAGTGTGACGTCACATCAAAATGCGCGACTTTAAATAAAAATAGACAACACGTTCTACTTAATTAAATAGACTTTTTAATAAATGTTTTCTCATACAACATCAGAGTGCAGCGCCACATTAAATACGCACTACAATGACAATAGTTTAAAGAGATTTGAAGCATGTTTTATTTTTTTTTGGGGGGGAGGACAGAGCTTTGTGACGTCATATTTGAGGGGGGGTCTGACTTTTTGTGACGCCGTGTGACTAGGAGGGGGGTCAAAAATCGTCCAAAATCGCGTGACGTCATTTATGGATGGCCCCTTAATGCAGACATGATTCCTTGTAAAACGTTTCAGTTTGGTGTTTTAACATCTGAAAACCTTGATTTAAAGCTTTCCTGACTGCAGGGATTAATATTCTTGGTTCTTTAGGTAAAGTCACGTAGAAGGGAAACAATAAAATAATAAAAAAAATATATAAAACAATAAAATTCTCACGACGTTTTGATGACGATTGCTTGTGTTGCAGTCGAAACGTCGTGAGAATTTTATTGTTTTATATATTTTTTATTATTTTATTGTTTCCCTTCTACGTGACTTTACCGAAAGAACCAAGAATATGAATCCCTGCAGTCACGAAAGCTTTAAATCAAAATATATATTTTAATTATTTTATTGTTTCCCTTCTACGTGACTTTACCGAAAGAACCAAGAATATCTGAAAACCTGTTTTGTTGCTAGAAAAAAAGTGGAACAACCTATGACCATCCTGCCCCTGTTTGTCTACATCTCATATTTATTTGAGGCCAACTTTTAAGCCTTTTTTTCTGTTGTTAAGTTCTTAAATAATTTCCCACTGATCATTTTCATTTGTCATTATAATGACTATGTCATATTCAAATAAGAAACGGGCACCACTTTCTCAAGGCAAGTCTTGGCCATTATATCTCCTATAAATAATGCACTCACACCTAGGATTTTTGATGTATGTATTATAAAGTCGAAGTTCAATGTTAATTAATTGAATCAATAATCCATTATATGCACATTAATATTAAAGATGTCCTTTTACTCTGGAAGCCCCCACGGAGTCTCTAAACTTTTTCATAAGGAATGTTTGGCCAATTTCTGACTGAATTATGTTACAAATGAAAAGAAATCAGCATACCTGGAGAAAACCCAAACACACTGTCTGCAGGGATAGCCTCCCATTATCATCATGAACACTACTAACATTATAAGCAGTACTCGCATCAGCATAAGCATGATGATCATCATCATCAGAGAACTTGTCAGCCCTGGCTGGGCCACAGCTCCAAGCACACGAGAGGGTGAGCATGGCAGGAATACGTTTTTTTAATATATATTTATATTTAGGCCTTGAATTGTGAGCACTTTCATGAATGCAATCATCTTCACGAAATTAAATGCCTTTTGATGACATACGCATAGTGATGTGCGATTTGCACGTACGTACGTATGTGCGTACGTACATGATCGATGGTGACGAATGTGCAGGAATACGTTTTTTTATATTTAGGCCTTGAATTGTGAGCACTTTCATGAATGCAATCATCTTCAGGAAATGAAATGCCTTTTGATGACATACGCATAATGATGTGCGATTTGTACGCATGTACGTATGTGCGTACGTACATGATCGATGGTGAAGAATGTGCAGGAATACGTTTTTTTTAATATTTAGGCCTTGAATTGTGAGCACTTTCATGAATGCAATCATCTTCACGAAATTAAATGCCTTTTGATAACAAACTCTTTGGTTCTTTCAGTAAAGTCATGTAGGTGAAAAAAATAAATATTAATAAATCAATCTTGCTGTGGTTGTCACACCTGATGATGATTGCTTGTGTTGCAATCGAAATGTCGGGATTTATTGCTATTTTTTATTTCATTTTCTACCTACGTGACTTTACCGAAAGAACCAAAGAGTATGGATCCTTGCAGTCACGAATACTTCAAATCTAGAATGATTTTGATAACATAAGCATAATGATGCGCGATTGTACGTATGTACGTATGTGCGTACGTACGTGATCGATGGTGAAAAATGTGTCCTCGAGCCTGATCGCTCGCACAGTCGGTTGAGGCCCTTTAAATGTTGCGTAAATGAGTTCCCTAAGAGTTTCAAAAATAACGTGTGTGTGTGTGCATGCGTGATAGGAGGACACTCGAGCTGTAATTATTCAAATCTGTTTTTATCTCCCTTTTGAATAGAGTAGTGATTAAGGTAACACCCCGTAATTGAGTGATTCATTTCTGTGTGAAATCCAGTAAATAGGTAAAATAGGAAAATACGTCTAGCGTGAGCAACTATCGTCCTGCTGCCTTGGCCTCATTATTTTGCAAAGTAATAACATCTATCATCGACAAATCGGCTCCTCCACCACTTTAAGTCATTATGCCATCACAGCGGTCCATCAACACCGGATTCCGTCAAGCGTGATCTACAAGTTACCTGTCTATAGAACTCATATTTCGGGTTAAAGCCTTGACAAATCTATGACCAAAGGCCTTAACATTTCTAAAGCACCCGGATTGTCTGGCATCCTACATCATATTCCCAGCTACCATCATTTGGAATCCGATCTAATCTGCAAGCTTATATTTATAGCCTTCTACCTGCGGGAGTAGCGCTCAAATTGCATTTCTACAATATAATTTCTTAAATTATTCATTATCTTCTTAAGGGACGTATTATCTTCCACTCACAAAACGATCTACTCCTTTGCAGATGACAGCAAACGTCATGCATCATACTTATTTAAATCACAGGCTGAAAGTAGTTGACAATGAGCTGCCCAAGGTGCAGATGCTTCACGATCAATCACCGCTGGCTTGAGCAAAATCCTTGATTGCGGTGGCAGAAACCTGGCCACATTCAACTAAAAAAAACTCAGTCGATGATTGATATCACATACAGCTGGCAATTCCACAGCTTGTCCCATCATATTTAACAAAGACATTCTTATCATAGTAAAACCATGGCACAACAATCTCATCTGACCTGTCACGGAATGTTTGCCGACTATAAAAAACAAATGTATCTCCAAGGTGGGCCATATTCAAAATAAATATCGTGTCAAATTTCGATTTAAAGCTTTCGTGACTGCAAGGATTCATCTTCTTTAGTTATTTTGGTAAAGTCACGTAGAATGAGAATATTTTATTATTTTATTCTCATTCTACGTCACTTTACCGAAAGAACCAAAGAAGAAATACCGTGTCAGTTTGTGAAATTCCAAACCTGTACAGCAAATAACGTCACAAACCTGTCCTTGCAGACCCTTGAGTGTAACCCTACTGCACACGTGTGGGTCCTCTCTCAGGGCACTGTGGTTTCCTCCCACATGCAAAACTCGTCAATGATGGCATTGGTCCAACGTTGCAATTCACAAGCCCCCTAATAAAGATCCTTGACACTCGGTGGGGAGACTCCCCGGGATAAATAATATATGGCGGTATTATTCATTACCCCTCCAAGATGAAAAACCATTTAAAATAGATTTTTGAGCATTCACTGCTGACGGGGCAAATGTAATGAATTATCAAAAAGCCAAGCACTTGCATTTGTTGTGCCATGCGCTGTAGGTCGCTTTACCTGCCACCACGCTCACGGGCCGACAGGGGACAGCCGAGAGAGAGAACAAGGTGTGTAGGGGTTGACCAAAGGTAACCCCCCCCCCTCGGGTGGCCTGTGACCGGAGGTTGACACCCCAGACCCCCAAGGGGCTTGGGGCCACCGGCCGATTTTAAGACCTTTTAAGATTTAAGACCCTTTAAGACCTTTCCAGAACCTCCCAGACATTTCTGGAAGGTTCTGGAGAGGGGGTGGAGAGGGGAGGGGGCAAGCCCCCGACCTGGGGATAAAAGCCGGCCCTCTGAACGGGTCCGGCAGTGTTTGCCAACTAAAGCCTGAAGACGTCCGAAGACCTGAAGACTGGACCAGCACCCGGGGAGAGCCTCAACCGAGGCTCTTGTCAGAGCCGGGTTGTAGCGGACCGGTGGTGGGACCCCGTACCCTGGCTGGGTCGGGTCAGTCTGGCCTCCCTTAGCGGCCGTGGCCAGGGACCTGTGTGGAGCGTAGCCGGGGTGTGTAGGACACACTAGAAGGGAGCCTGTACCTCCCTTAGGCTATCGGGTTGAAGGGGCCGTACCCCTTCGTGTCGCAGTCGCTGTCAGTTGAGTCTGTTACTTAATAAACACGTTGCCTCCAGAAGCCGTCTCCGTGTCGTGAGTTAGACACACAACACATTTACCGAAAGTAGCCACCCAGGATTGTAACCCAGGATATCGGTGGCGCTCTCTGTTGGTGCCACCAGCTACCCGAACCACCGGCCAAGCTCGTACCTTGAGCACATTGTTGACGATGATGGCAGGCGCCTCGTCGTTGACGGGCACCACGAGAATGGGCAGGGTGAGTGGTCGGCTGTGCTTGTGCAGGTGCGAGTCATTGGCCATGAGCACAAGGCTGTCACCGGTGGTCTCGCTGCCATCGTGCGCGTACTCCATCAGACCCTGTGCCACCTGCAGGGGAAAAGCATTCAGGGATACCCTCGAGTTCACCCCGCACCGTCAACAAACTGTAACTGCCACACAGCGAGTGGGACCGAAACATTCGCGCTCAGTATCTGCAAAGTAAAAACACAATGCGGAGACATTAATACAATTAACTGGATAAGTGTGACCGTCCTCTGTAACATCAGCAATTCTTTCCATCAATGCAAAAGTACAGAAGCGGAGCGAAACTTCAGTGTTAAGTTTCCGTTTCTCACGTTCTCTCACATCTATCAACTTTTTTAGACCCCCCCAAAAAGTCCCCACGAACACAATGTCACATTTCTCACTCCAATTATCCCCCCGATTTCCCACATGTATCATCAAACAATAATGTCCCTCCGACCCATTTTACACGCTTTTATTTAACTCACTCGGTCTGTTGTTGTTGTTGTCGTATCCTCAAATCTTGTAAAGCAATTTTTACCCACTTCCCAATGTGGTATCGACTGTAAACTTGGTATACTTATGTCATACTGATGACAATACTATATTCTATCAAAAAAATGAAAAAAGTATTTTTAAACATTCTTTTTTATATGTTATGTTTCGCCTTGGGTCTAATTGTCCACACTCAACTCACGTTGGCTGTAAATCACCACGGCCCCTTACGTTGTGGCAAGCTTTGCGGCCACTTCCTGGAGTACGGTAAATTTCATTAACAACCGTGTTTTAAAAAAAGTTTAAAAAAATATTACTTATTACATTAAACGTCCAAATCTTTGCCACATTGGCGGCACACGTTGCGCATCGGTCACATGCCAGTGGTGCCGCTTTCCCCGCCCCGTGCATCTCCCGCGCCGTTGCCCATCCCTGCCTCACTCCACGCCATCTCTCTCCGCTCGCACACAACACATCTCTGACTCCGCTTAGCCCGGCGATCACAGATGACGCACAGCAGCGCGTAGAGCAGCCCAGGCGTTACGGCGATGTGGAGTGAGCGGTGGCGAGATGGGCGGAGAAGTCGGATATCGAGGGGTAGTATATGCATGCGGCGAGAAGCGGGAGATGACCATTGCGAAATGCAGGATATGTGCGGAGCGGCGAGAGTGATAGTTGCACGAGTAAAGAGATAGGAGACGTGTCAAGGAGCAGGGGATGTATATGTTAATTTGAACTTGTGTCTAGGGAATGTTACGGGTTTTATTAATTAGACCACGTGGTTCAGGAGATTTGTTTTATAATTGGACCACGTGGTCTAATTACAATTAGACCACGTCGTTCAGGAGATTTGTCTTTTATCGACATTATCCACATCATAAAAGAAGCGTGGACAGTTTGTTGTGTTAAAAAAAAATAATAAACGTTTACCACATTTTGATTTAAAGCTTTCGTGACTGCAGGGATTCATATTCTTGGTTCTTTCGGTAAAGTCACCACCACGTAGAAAGGGAAACAATAAAATAATAAAAATATAAAACAATAATATGTTAAGAGTGGTAGCTTGAAGGTTATTAAACCCATTCATCCATGCAGCGGTAAACGCAATCCAAAGGGCGTGTTAGACCCCCGTGACACCCTGCCACCTGATGCTGCACGGAACATTCCACCCGCACGCGAGTGAAACGACCCTGCAATGCGTTACCTCCCACCCGTAGAATTCGGCGAGCCGCATGTCCGGTTTGCGAGCGTTCTGAATGTGTCCGTGCTTGGGTTGCTCCACGATGACATAGTGCAGCCTCAGACGGTCAAACAAGGGATTTGTGCTGGCTATGCCGTCTTGCGTCAGGATCGCCAACCCTCCCTCGGCGACGGTCAGGTTCTGAATGGTCAGCTCAATCTCCGATGGAATAACACTGATGCACGTGTCCACCCCACGTAATTCCATGAAGCCATTGGACGAGTCCACTGTGAAGCAATCCTCTGTCGCAGGCAGCTCCGTGTGCAGGTACTCGATCATTTCCTCGTTGATCTCCTGTTGGGTGAAGGACGCGAGGCCCTCGGGCTTCCGCGTTGGCGACTTTGGGACGGTCACATCTCGCTTCTTCAAAAATCCATGCTTCGGAGGTCTTATAACGGTGAACGTGATTTCGGAAGGTAGACTGGCTTCATGCGAGACCTTAGACACATTAAGCAAGGGGGGAAGTGTAAAGCAATGCACGTGTACAGTTGTACCCAGTAAATGGTGAATGGTGGCTAGGGGGGGGGGAGTGCCATTATTTCTCAAGCATGGGTTACAATCCATTAGCTTCATCTGTGTAAACGGTTAGCGCACTGAGACTAGAAGACAAATCAACTTAATAGGCAAGTTAATTACATGTTATTTTAGAGCAGCTATGTAGCCCTCATTACAACGTTTAGAAAGGTTATGTGTTATGTGAGCCTTTACATAACACGCAGTTTTAGACACATTATTGTATTTTTTACGTATTATTTTTAACCTGAAGAGAAACTCGTCACCTTACAAACAAAAAAAACAAGTGAAGACGTAGTAGAAATGTGTGACGTATAACAACGCGATAACGATGAAATGGACGTAGAAAAGGGGCATGCAATTTATTATTGGTCCTTGGGACGTTGGGCTGAGCATGGCTTATCAGTACCACACAGGATGATCATTCTAACCGAGGATTTCCTTGAATAATTTTGCCTCCAGATCACAAATATGCATGGTAGCAAGTCCACCGCAGTAGGTTCCCCCCCCCCCAAGTAACCTTCCATTAAATGGGTACCGTGATATATTTCTGTAGAGCTTTCCAGCTCTTCTCGAAGGGCATGTTAACTCATCCCTCGGTATGGGAGGGGGGGGGGCTGTACTGCACTGCCTTAAATTAGGCATAACAGCCGACTGCTGCTCCATCTATTCCTACTTTTGCATACTATTACCTCTTGTGTAGAACACTGAAGGAAACGGCTCCAAATCCTAAAAAAGGGACCTTTACGAAACAAATCCTCAAGACTCAGTTGGCACATTCCTGCATAAGTAATACCCGACTCTCAAAGGCTCTGGTAATGGAAAGAGTGGGCGCTGCAAGGAAACCCTTCTAGGTGATCACCCAGGGAAAAGGGCTCAGGTAATAGAATTACATTGCCGCTACTTCCAGATTCTCTTCCTCCAATCTGCGCAAGGGCTCAGATAACAGGAAGATATTTGGTGCTACTCCTAGCTCCCTACTCTCGTCCACGAAAGACTCGGGATGACAGGAAAAATGTAGCGCACACAGATGACAGGAAAGAGTGCGGTGCGTGTGTGGTGCGCGTGGAAAAGCAGGAGGCGTCGGGCCTCGGATAAGAGTTTTACTGTAATTTGTGTGGTGTATTAACAAACGGTGTCATGTTGTTTGTTAAAGATTTTGCTCGTGAAACAGATAAGAGTGAGCCGGTGTAGTGTTTGTCAGGGTATTATGGGCTCAACGTTACCCACAACTGTGGGTAAATTTAGATCACTACGCGTTAGTGTCATTGCCAAGGTTCCTAATAATAACTACACCACCAAATTTTGTTTTAAAGCTTTCGTGACTGCAGGGATTCATATTCTTGGTTCTTTTGGTAAAGTCACGTAGAAGGGAAATAAATAAAATTGTCACGTTTCGACTGCAACACAAGCAATCAATCATCATCAGGTGTGATGATGATTTATGTGTTTTTCACACCTGATGATGATTGCTTGTGTTGCAGTCGAAACGTCGTGACAATTTTATTGTTTTATATTTGTATTATTTTATTGTTTCCCTTCTACGTGATGACTTTACCGAAAGAACCAAGAATAACAAAAACCGCTTTCAACTCACTTGCGAAAGATTCACGACGTAATTTGCCACAATTATTCACGAAGATACAGCTTGCAAAATACATACATATGGATACCAATATGTACCCCGAATCTCAAATGCTTCTGGCCGAGTTCAATAAACAGCAGAGACTGATTGCGGGCTGCGATTGCGGTGCTCATGCCCCCCCCCCCCGCCCCCCCCCCCCCCCCCCCCCCCCCCCCCCCCCCCCCCCCCCGCGCGTGACTGCACCACCCACCAGCAGCGCGCTGTCCGTGATCCTCACCGCCCCGCCTCTCTCCACCAGCACGCCGCCGCCGCCGCTGCTGTTGTGCACGAGCACCGGGGCGGTGCCGTGCGTCGCCAACCGCACGCGCACCGGCAGCTCCGCCCGCGTCTCCAGGCCGTGCGCCGCCACGCGCAGGCCGATGGCGTCCCTGGGCACGGAGCCGTTGGCGTGCTCGTACACCACCCTGCCCCGGGTGACGTCGCTCTGGGTGAAGAAGTCGCTGGCGACCTCCCCGATGATCAACTGGCCGTGCGTCGGCGCAGTCGCCACGCGATACTGGATTTCGTTCCCGTGCCTGATGTCCAGGTTTGTGAAGACGCCGAGGTTAAGTGCGGTGAGGGCGCGGCTCTGCCCCTGCGTTACAAGTACACCAGTGGAACTCGTCACTCCGAGGAAGGCTTCTGAAGCTCGGATCTCCAGCAGACCGGACACTCGATGAAGTCCATCAGAAACCGTCAGCGCAAGACGACTCGCGTCTCCTCCGCGGTGTACGAATAAAACGAGGCCATTCTCAAGGTCTTGTTGTTTGAACTCCGTGAGGTTGTGAGCCGAGTCATTCGCTGAAACGAGGTGCCCACTGAATGTGCTCTGCTGTTTGTAGACCAGGTTCGAGTCGTGAAAATCCCAGTCGGGGTCATGGTAACACACATCTGCTGTTGTTAGCAATCTTTTCCCACCCCTCACCACGTGGAAAGCCTTGTCCACAACACGCACCGGCCTTTGATCATTTATAGGCCTTACGTTGATATGAACCTCGCTACGGAGCTTAGTGACATCCGAATCATTGTACGCTAGCAATGTGTCAGAAACAAGTTTGTTGCCCACTGGAGATGCTACGATTACAAACTGATCTCTTTCAGTTTCTGAGTCGTCGTGCACATAGACAATCTGCTTGTTCAGTATGTCTTGGTTTGTAAAGTGTGTGACATTCTCCAGCCCAGTGGAGGCAGCAGTGTCGTTTCTCAGCAGCACCCCATGGTGCGGACCGTCCACGACATGGAAGCGGTACACGTCGGTGACCTTGGATCGAGCAAAGAGCCCTTGGCTGCTAATCGGCACGCTCTGTCCTTCCTCTACGCTTAGACCCACATTTATCAAAGTGACACTCAAAGGATCCTGCTCAATTTTAATACGAAACGTATAACGTGGGGACCAGCTATGACCGGCGCTAACTTTAAACTGGAAGCCATCCTCCTGATCGCTCCTTGCTCTACCAAAGAGTTCATAGGAAACTCTGTTAAGCTCAACGTCCAGCTGAGTGAAAGTGGAATCGAGCTCGAGGCCGTTTTGAGAGGAAAGCAATCGGCCCCTCGTCGGTAGAGTGAGCACCGTGTACACAAGCGGGGAGCCTGGAGGGCGCCCATCGCCTACCGCCGCCAGAACGTGATCTTTCGTGATGTTTCCTCTCCTATCACTCGCAATGGTTAGAGTCTCATGTCGAATCAGTTTTATGGTGCCACGTGAAATATTTAATATAAATTCGTGTTCGTCTGTTGTGAACTCTCCAACGGTAACGGTAAATTTAAAGCCGTCTGTGATGTTTTGAAAGTGGTATGATGTGTCCGTGCTCTCATACCGAATGTGCGCTTGCTGCAGATCGTGTTGAGTGAAATTGTGAGATCGTCTCCATTCTCTGCCCAAATAGCGCTTTTGTAGTATCCCGTAACTGCACCCTTCGGTAACTGTAAACCAAATATCAACGAGCTGTTTGCCAGCGTTTGTGTGCACCGAGAGATTTGCGGCTGTCAGAACGGCTGCGTCGCCCTGGTTTACCAGCAAACCTGTGTTGTTCACAAGGCTGAGCTCAACAGGAACGGCCATAACCCTGAGCCAGATGGGCTTCCCCCTCCGGCGATCTCTATCGCTGGCCTGCAGCTCCAACCGGGTGCTGCGCTCCCCTCGGTGCGTGTAATAAACGACGCCCTTCTGAACCTCCGAGTAGCGGAACGTCGTGATATTTATACGAGGGGAGTCCCGGTATGAGAAGAAGCCAGTGTTTGAGCTCAAGCCATCGGTGACATGGATAAAGGAATTACTCGCATCCGAATCCACGTCAGACACTTCCATGATATTCTCTGTGATCTGACGCCTTGTGTTTTCTAGCAACATGAACAAGTCACCATTTGGAAAGTTCAACTTTGGAGGATCATTGACTGGCATTATAGAAATCCTAAAGGTGTACTCCTTTTCCTTAGTTGTAAACATAGGCAGCTCCTTTTTGTTGTGGATGAGGATACGGAATTTAAATCTGTCCGAATGGGATTCGGAGCCATCGTGGACGTAAATGACGCGTCTGTGTCCAATATCAAGGAGAGTGAATGCCCTCCTCTCATTGGCTCCTGGGATATCGAGTTTCAGGAGACCGTGCCGTGGCTCTTTGGTTATCCTGAACAATATCTGGGACTGTCGTAGTCCCACATTGTGTAAGTCCACAGTTATGTTTATATTGTCAGAATTCAATATGTTTTCTCCACCTTCCTGCACTACTAATGTTTGGAAGACAATTATGGCATCACTGTTCTGCATCTCATTCATTTCATCAACTTCATCATCCTTGTCATCATCATTATCATTTCCATGCAGAGTAGCTGCAGGAGATGGACTAATCAACGATAAATCTGGGGTGTCTATTGAAAGATCTTCTTCGTCCAGGTCTTCTTCGTCCAGCTCTTCTCCACAAGTTATAGATATTTCTCGAGTGACTAGAGCATCCTGGAGACTCTGCTTTTGTAGGTTGACCCTCACATCTCTCATACAACCCTGAAAGGAGCTTCCATGTCCACCCTGCCTTGACAGAGACACAATTCCCCGAGTCAAAATTTCCTCCATGTTGATATCCTCAACTCCTCCTACAAACATTAGACCAGTGAGGTCCAAATATTTCCGTTTGTGACCAAGGAAGGTCTTAACGGTTTCAGTTCCAACGGTGAGTTGCAATTCAGCTATTGTCAAGTTGAGTTTAATTTTATACCACTGTCCATCGTCAACCTTCACACTTGATATAACTTTTCTAATTCTATTTCCTTTGTCAATGAGGGCTTGGACATAGCCATCCACTATCTCCATGGCAATGAAGTCGGTCTGCCTGTTGCTGTGGTACAGCAGCACTCCTTGCGGATGCACAGTTTGCAGCACACATTCAAATACCCCCACCTCCCGGGCTGACCATGTATCAAATGCCACGTACGACCTAGGGTTCAGGAAGTGAATGGGATCCTCTTCAAAGGCAGAAAATTCATCGCTGCAGCCCTGCGTCACCTCGTGGACCAGGTACGTCTCTTCAGCCTCGCCGGCCAGCACTGAAAGGAGGTCGTGTTGGTTATATACCGCATCAGAAATGCATCCACGAAACCCGGGAGAGGCCCCCGCCATGTAGGGGTGCTCCAGCCGGGCTGCGCCCCCCCCCAGGAAGACTCCGTGGTGCACATTGAGCTCGAAGAGAGTTCCTGGCAACCGCAGTGACAGCGGAAAGAGCTCGTCAATGGTGAGGACGAGCCTCTCGCGTTCCTGGGTGAGTTGCAGGTCATGCCACAGGAAGTTGTTGAGACGTAGGCCTGGCTGAGAAAGCAGGATCACCTCCCCGGAACCCAAATCCATCCGAACCTGAAGGAGAGACGGGGAAGTAACTACACGAACAACGTCTGGTGGAACAGTGGGACCGTCATCTCCAGTTCATTGGAAAGAGAATTTTGTTAAAATAGGGAATCATGTCTGTCGAGTTGCGTTATCCTACCTATTATTTAGATGTTTTTTGCAGCTGTATTTTAAGGTGACTGAAACTCCAACGCAGTGAATGCACTTGCAACGGAGTCAGTTTTTCATAAAGTCTTCAGCATATCTCCTGCAGCCAACATGTGTTTATTTTGGGGAGTTATATGGATGTCAAAAAACTCCGTGGTATCATTTCGGAAAGCCGGACATCGTGTAGTGCTGGCCATAGCACTAATCCAAATATGAACACAAACTAAACACAAAAATATAACAATGCTGGTACTTTTAATGCAGGCAAGAGATGGGGACAAAGTAAAAAAAAAAGTAATTTACTGTTTGGATGATTGATGGTCTCATTCTCTTCAACTCAAGCGCACTGCGCACCAAAGGGAAACCTCGTTAGCAGTTACAGCTGGTTCTGAGGCTTTGAAACTGGAGATGGATTCCTGAGGATCCCCCCATTAGTGCGCATCTCCCACAATGCCACAGGGAAGAGAAATAGATCCAACGAATATTCACTCAAATTTACCACAAAAATGCTTCACAAGTTTAGCACGAGCCAAATCCTTGCGACGAAATAGATCTCTCAAAAAGGTGTCCACGCAACACTGATGGTAGATAAACTGGCAACGTGAAACCGAGCAGAGATTTTTCAAGCAACTTAAGGAATACAATTTGACAAGCAGGACGCTGTTGCTAGCATTTCCACGCGCTGGTTCCCCATTAAACGCCGTGGCACGAGGCAGCATCTTCGGTGATTGTTATTTTTAGAGGGAGGCAGCTGTGAGAAAACATCTGATATAATGGAACAGGGGCTCCCAGTTAGCCCAGTGTAATCATGGGGCCTCCCACTACTCCAGACAACTCCGTCGAAATCCATATCACATTCCCTCTCATAGTTGGGCTGTGGCACCGTTAGCCTCGGTATATGCATGGCAAGCCGCTCACGGAGCTTGGCTGTCCCGCGCTCAACACCGCTTGAATCAGCTGCTGGCTGATGAAGGTTTAGTCTGTCGGGGCAACCGTACGGTGGCACGACTGGAGGAAAGGATTACCCATTTTCCCAGTGGCCCACTCGAACTCTCTTCTCTCTGTCTCTCACGTTTGCGTGTCTATTAATCCAATGTTGCACGTCTATGTAAAACAACCGTCCCAAAATCATTCTTTGGTTCTTTCGGTAAAGCCACGTAGAAAGAAAAATAAATTAAATAATAGCATACGACGTTTACGTAATCAACCAGGTAGGGTGTTGACTGTTATGTTAGCCGACTCTCTGCGTTGTATTGAATTATATTTCTAAGTTTACTACGTAATCAACCAGGTATGGTATTGACTGTTGTGTAAGCCAACTCTGTGTTGTATCGCATTATATTTCTAAGTTTACTAGGTTTGTTTTCTCTTTCATTTGTACCCGATGATGATTGCTTGTGTTGCAATCGAAATGTCATAGGTATTATTTAATTTATTTTTCTTTCTACATGCAGTCACGAAAGCTCCAAATCAAGTTTTTTTTTTCTTTTCCCAAAATCCTTGAAAGGAAAAGAAGCTGGAGAGGCAAAGTATTTTACTTGACAGCCATTCCCCTGAACGCTACTGCTGAAGCATGCTTATTGTACTGGGGGTGGGATTTCCGTCAGGAGATACCTGCAGGCGGGCCGACCGCAGCTCCACCAGGATGTAGTCAGTCTGCCCGCCCACTGCAAGCAGCAGCCCATTGCGCCTGGCGGTCTTGAAGCGGATGTAGATCTCATTGTGGCTCGTTGCATCTGCCAGTGGCAGCTCCACATAGCTGGCTCCATAAAATGATGCTGCACAGAAGGGAGGCAGTGGAGGATGTTGTCGCATGTCTTAGTGGGCAACTTGGTAAGCAGTAAAAATAACTAATCTGTTTAACTATTCAAGTTGATTCAAACAAACCCACGCTCAAATCCTCCAATATACCATTTAATAATGTCTTGATGTGTGTTAGGCATCCACACACATGGTTTGTTTTGTTGGTGCTTATTTTAGTCCTTGAACCAAGAAATTAAATACATTTCCTTACTTTCAAACAAAATGCCTTAGAAATGCTAAAACATGGCATGCTTCACTGGAGGTTGCGCAATCTTCCAAGTCACGCCTTCGAATACAACACTCGGGCTCGTCCAGCTGCCACCTTCATCTTTCAACAGCACAAGTTGACACGCACGTGGAAGGAGGGGCCGGGGACAGGCCACTAACGTTCCACGCGCTACAAATGCACAGCGCACTCGAGCGTGGGATTTAAATGTGTATACAGTTCCTACAACGCAGCTCAAAAGATAATTTATTTGTATTTCACACGTAGTTACTTTCACGTTTCCCCGTTACATGCAAATTAATTACGCTTGTTAGAATTCATTCGTATATCATGCATTCAACTGGTTTACAGAATCGTGACACCCATGATAGATTCTATAAGCAGGACAAGGACAAATGATTATTTTTTAACCATAGTAATTCATAATAATCAATAAAGGGGTGAATTGTTAGAAGCCGATTAATCCGAGTTCGACTCTCATAGACAAAGGTTTGGTAAAAGTGATGTAGTAAAGCAGTGACGATCACAGGAAAGTGTGAGGCCGTTTTGACACGAAATGCATGTGCAGTGTTTCATACAATGTTAAACATTTAAGCAAAAGTGTTTCTTCATTTCAAAACACCAGAGGGATGCTGGGCTAATATCGACTGTGGTTTTATTTTTTTACGATCATGAACTTGATGCTCTACCGGCGGAGCAATCACAGACATATAAATACTGTTAAACAATATGTAATGTTTTATTTTGATTTAAAGCTTTCGTGACTGCAGTAATTCATATTCTTAGCTCTTTCGGTAAAGTCACATTGAAGGGAAACATATACAAGCAGAGACAATTTCAACCGAGAAGATGTATTCTGGCTTAGCAATCATTTGAAGGATTTGATAAACCATTTCAGGTCTTAATTGATTGTTCACGCTTACGGTGGCTTTCAGACAGCATACATTAATTTTTCGTCTCCCCCCTCCTCTTTTCAGAACATAGATGGACTCATCCTTCTAAACAAACTGCCAAATCGCTGCCCGTGGCGCTAACGGGTTTTTTAAATAAATAAATACGGCGTTTGAAAATAAATAAATGCGAACCGCCACTTCTTTCAAATGTTTCTTGCCGTTGGTTTTCACACCTGATGATGACCGTTTGTGTTATGGTCGAAACGTCGTGAGAATTTTTATTGTTTTATATATATTTTATTGTTTCCCTTCAACGTGACTTTACCGAAAGAGCTAAGAATATGAATATGTAATGTGTATGAATGTACAGTAAAACCTTGGATTGCGAGTTACTTGGTATGCGAGTGTTTTGCAAAACGAGCAAAATTTTTAAATAAATATTAATTAGATAAACGAGCGAGGTCTTGCAATACGAGTAGTGTACGTATACGCTTTGTACTGCCGAGCGTCACGTGATCACAACTGATATACGAGTGCTTTGGTATACGAGTGCTTTGGATTACAAACACGTTTCCGGAACGAATTATGCTCGCAATCCAAGGTTTTACAGTAACACATACAGTGTGGATTTTAAATACAGACAAGTGATGTATATACAGTGTACTCTATTGGATGTCATGGGACAGATGCAAGTCTCAGTTTTTGTCAGCTGCATATTAATAAGAAATTACTCCAGAAGATACATGATTACGTATTGTCCCCCCTCGTTTCTGCTATCGTGAGATATTCTTCCCGTGATACGTCCCAGCTTTTTTTTGTACCTCGGAGGTAGCAACGCCAAGCATACACTTTACCTCAAAACAATTCTTTAAATCGTGACACCTCAAACATTAAAGCCTTTCTTTTTTGTTACAAGCATAGAGTTTACACAGATCGCACGCCTCGTGCGTTTTCGCAAGGATAGGTCACGCACACGAGGCAGTATTTTCCTGAGCAAGATCACGTAGCGTTCCAACAATGCTGAGTGTTGCATTTCACTGCTCACTGGAGCATCACCACACACACACACATCTGTAACTAGGCACAACCGCAAGCTCTCTCCACATTGTAAGTGCGTTAAGGTTAAACACTCGACAGGGCGCCAAGTGATGGGAATGCTACAGTTTCACGATGTCTGCAAAAGACCAAGCACGTGCAGTTATAAATCACGTACAGTTAGTTGCACGCTTTCCTGCTGAAAACCTAACATTTTTTTCATGAAGCCCATGTCAGCAGCCCTCCTGCTGTGTCTGTTCCACCTGAAGACGGTCGCTTGTGTTGCGATCGAAACGTCGTGGTGTATTTTATTTCATACTCTACGTGACTTTACCGAAAGAACCAAAGAGTATGGATCCCTGCAGTCACGAAAACTTCAAATCTAGGCCAGAGCTGCTTGCTGGGGAGCTAAAGCTATGCATTATAATTCGTGGCATAAGTGAACCTAGGATTGACTTAGGTCAGATCGGCGTTGGCGATGATGCTACATGGTATAGTGAGAGGCTGGAAAGCATTCGGCAGGAGCAGGGAATGCCATTAGTAACTCGATAGCGAAGTGCGGGACGAGCGGACGAGCAGATTATTTTAGTCGTGCTACGGCTAATACATTACGACATGTCAGTAGTGGAAGCTTACGCAGAGACAGTAGCTTAGCGATATCAAAGAGCACTTATACAATAGACCAGAGACAGTCTGTTTTTGGTGCATGGTTGCCCAAGTGTGATGATCTCCTACTATTGGGGACTTCAATGTCCTAGTAGGAACCACGTTGGATGAGTGGAGGCATGTATTAAGGTGGTACGGAATAGGTCATTCGATGAATGATCAGCAACACAGTTTGTGCGCAGGATGAAGGAGGGTTGGTAACCAAGTCACTGGAGTGGTCTCCACGAGTCTGGAGACTAAAGGGAAGATGTTGAGATACTGTTTGGGGCAAGTAATGAAGTGGTGTGTTTACCGTGCTGCAGCTGCAGCAGCAGCAGTTGGTGTGGGATCTGGCGAAGGTTATAAAACATTGACCAGGTGCGGCGCTATGAAAGGGTTTGGCAATGATCTCTGGACGTCTGTCCGTCCGTCCATCTTTCGGTAATGGAGGGTAATGATAACGCTCCTAAAGACGATGCAATACGAATACAATTTCACATGAAGATGCGTGGATAATTGGGACTTGTCCTCATGAAAAAAAAAAACAGCCACTTCAATCAAATGGTTGCCCAACATTTGCAGAAACCAGTGTAAAAGATTATCCACCTCGGCAATGGCAGAATGTAGCGCCACTGAACTTCGTCCTGGGCCTCACCTCCGTTAACTCAGGGTTCGGTGATCAACACTGAACTATATGGGTGCCTTAGCCTGGCTACGTAAGCCTCGAGGATTAACACTGGACTATATGGGTGCCTTAGTCTGGCTCCGTAAGGGGCCGTCCATAAATGTGACGTCACGCGATTTTGGACGATTTTTGACCCCCCCTCCCCCCCGATCGTCACACGGCGTCACAAAAAGTCAGACCCCCCCCCCCCCTAAAATATGACGTCACAAAGCTCTGTCCTCCCCAAAAAAATATATAAACCATGCTTCAAATCGCTTTAAACTATTGTCATTGCAGTGCGTATTTAATGTGGCGCTGCACTCTGATGTTGTAGGAGAAAACATTTATTAAAAGTCTATTTAATTAAGTAGAACGTGTTGTCTGTATTTAAAGTTGCGCATTTTGATGTGACGTCACATTTCTCACCCCCCCCCCCTCACACATCGTCACAAATCTTTGAACCCCCCCCTCCCCCCAGGTGCGTGACGTCATTTATGGACGGCCCCTAAGCCTGGAGGATTAACACTGACACTATGGGTGCCTTAGTCTGGCACTATGATCCTCAGTGATTAGCACCGAACCCTATGGGAGACATTCTGGCTCGGTGAGCCTCGCTGATCAACACTGAACCCCGTGGAAACCTTAGTTTAGATATCTGAGGGTCAGTGTTTAACATATACCCCCATTGCAGCCTTAGCCCGACTCGATGAGCAATCAGTGATGAAAACTGAACCCGATGTAAGTCTCAATCTGGCTCCTTGAGCCTCGGGGATTAACACCGAACCCTATTAGAGCCTTAGTCTGGCCACACCGTCTCATCACGGTCCGTGGATGACAACACATCAAAATGATCCAATATGAACAATACTCTACTATAAAGTTGTTACGATTAGGGATTTCACCGATTGAAAAAGTGGCCGAATTGATCTAAACTTTGCAGACACAAACCTGCATGCAAATGACGACAGTATTCACAATATGCAAATGAATGTTGCCCTCGCAGTACCCCATCGACTTCTTTAACCGCAGGTAAATAATTCTCAGGACACACCTCTGTTGCATGATTGTTCTTGCTATGGTTCCAGTTGTTTGGATATGAGATACATTTCCCAGAGGGTAACAGCCTCATGAATGGCTCTTGATGGTCACATGACCAGATTCGTAACTCGGTCAGCATGTCCAATACAGTAAAACCTTGGATTGCGAGTAACTTGGTCTGGGAGTGTTTTGCAAGACGAGCAATACATGTAATTAAATATTAATTTGATAAAAGAGCGAGGTCTTGCAATACGAGTAGTAAGTATACGCTTTATCTGCCGAGCATCACGTGATCACAACTGATATACGAGTGGTTTGATATACGAGTGCTTTCGATTACAAACACGTTTCCGGAACGAATTATGCTCGCAATCAAAGGTTTTACTGTATAGGCCTGCAAACTGCTTGTAAAAAGAGAGACTGGTTTACAGATAAATTGACTGAGACACACATCTTTAATTATACAATTGTGTA